TGAGCTTGTGCTTCAAAAATACCTGCTTGCGGTCTAGCAATTTTGTAGGTTTGCATAAGTATTCTAGGTGCTTGAATCTTAACAGCCTTATTAAGTTCTGGTTTCAGTCAATCTAAGAAAAAACTAATGGCATTCTCAGTCGACAAATTTTTTTTATTAATCAGCTTATTAAAGTCGGTTTGATAATCCTTCATAGAATCTGTCTACTTCAGATTTTAATAGCTTCCATAGGATCTTCAAACCCTTCCCCAAAGATATCATGTAAAGCTAAAACATATTCTGTCCAAGTGGAAAACGTATCACTATTTATGGATTTCATATATGATCTATGCCACATAATGGCATCCCCATCAAAATGGAGTACAAGCAACCTTAACCCTTTCTTCAAAAGCAATTTCTTCCATAGAAAAAACATGATCCACCTAATACAATCATGATTCCAAGTCATATTCAGAAAATCTAGGAAAATCGAGTTGAGAATATCGAGTGAAAGAACTATTACCAGTTGGAGCAGATTTGGTTTGCACATCTTTAGATTGACCCATATGAGCAAGACTAGCTGATTCTCCTTCAAATGAAGTTGTTGTTCTTCTGTCTTGTTGCCTGATAATCCCAATTGCCTCCTTAATCTCAAGAATTTTTTTACCAATTTGTGCATTCCGGACATTCATACTAGTCAAGCCCTCCATCAATTTCTGCACTTGGTCTTGGATTTCTGAGAATTTGCCCTCCCTACTTTCTATAAGTTTATCTTGATTCTTATCTCTATCCATGTTAACGTCGAGAAACACCGGCTCTGATACCAAATGATGCAATAAAGAACTAAAAATGAGAAGATTGAACTAGGAGCTTAGCTTGAATAACACTGGCAGCAAACTGGGAACTTCCGAGACTTTAACTAAGAAGAAGAATAGAGAAGAGAAGTAGAATGGGATCTTATTTTTGAGTGAATGTTATTAGCTTGATTACAATGTATTTATAAAACTAAAATAACTCACACAAAGCTCACATAAACAGCTCACTCGATCCCTTCACAGTGACAGTTATTGACAGTTATAACTAACTCTAACAGTTCCTAACTAACTTGCCACGTCAGTCGCTAATTCTGCATCTTCCTGCTCTTGCATCACCTTTCGTACAAATTATTAATAGGCCTTTGTGCACACACGAAATTTAAGAAGAATTATCATAAATATCTGTCTACCCAATCACTTAAATTAAAAATAATATATGCATAATCCATATATGATATATATATACTTGTGTAAAATCATTAATTAACCTATATATACCGACTAAAAAAGTAAATAACAAATAAAATCTGACAGACTAAATGTATAAAAATCCCGAAATTTAACGCATAGAATGAGGCCCTAAAAGCTCAATATGTTTACTTGGGAGTTGGGCCATTGCTGCAGAACCATGATGACTAGACCGTTTAACAACAAGAAATTATACTTAATGACCTTGAAAATGGCAAATCTTTAAAGGTAGGTCAAAAGTGTTACCTATAAGGCGAGCGAGGGGCAACACATGTTAAACTTGAAGTATATATATGTATTTATTCATATATACTTTTCTCAATGTCTTTTTTGCTTTGACATTACTTGGCTTAGTGTGCCATTATATTAATTGCTGCGAAAATAATATTGTATAACCACTTTTAAAATAATAGCTGAAAAATATATATTTTTGTATCTATGTACATTTTTATATGTCATATATAAATATACAAATTTTATATACTTTTACGGTTATTGAATATAAATAATTTCGTGCGCGGGCTAAAAATGATCTTTGCCCGGGATCTTTGTTCTACATCGATTAGGCTTAGCCTGGAGCTCCAAAAGTTGTGTCGCAATAAGGCTTCATAAAATTTCCTTGGAAGCAATTTTATGCGTTTGTTCTTTAAACTCTACAGGAGATGATCAAATGCATTGTACTAGTAGGATGTGTTCAAATGCATTATTAGTAAAACAATTACATTGGCAATTAGATATTTAGACTAGAAGAAATCACTATAGCGAATTCAATTAGTTTTAGACCGGCTAATTTTGTATTTTGCCATATTTATTATTTGCAAATATTAGTTTGATTGTAAGATTTCCGATTTCAAGTGAAATATTGAAATAATAGTTAAAGGTGCAGATTTACACTAGCAATTCTTTACATTTCATAAATCTTTTTTCCAAGTTCAGCTCAAGTCCAAACACCTTTTTTCAATTTTATCTTCAAAATACTCTTTTTTTTTTTTTTTTTTTTTTTTTTACTTCAACTCAAATTTGTCCAATTGCCTGAAAGTACCATGTCCACAACTTCACTACAATCTTCAATATTACGTTTGCAGAACAAGTAAAGCTGATAATATATTTACCAAATCAGATCCCAGACCTCTATATGTAATAATATCCATAGGCATAGCACCCTTATCTCAACTGCTTCTATTCATGGTTAAAGGCCAAATGATCCCTGCGCCAGCATCCTTTCCACTCTTTTGATCATGGCCAGCAGATTCCAAACAGTCATTTGGTGCAGCTAAGGTGGCAAACGGTCGGGTCATGTCGGATATGGGACGGATCAAAAGCAGGTAATAAAAAAAAATGGATAAATTATCCGAACCGATCCATATTTAATACGGATAAAAAATGGGTTAACCGACGGATAATATAAGTAACCATATTATCCATGACTTCTTGAATATGATCACTTTTGGAAGAATTCCTAGTCTCCCAAACTTGAGGAACCCCCAATTTGAGACTTTACAAAAATATAAAAGTTAAACTCATTAGCTATCCATTGATTGTCCGTTTTCTAAATGGATAATATCGTTCTTATCCGTATTTGATCCGTTTTTAAAATGTTCATTATCCAACATATTTTTAAGTGAATAATATTGGAGGTTAACTATTTTCTTTTAACCATTTTGCCACCACTAGGTGCAGTAGAGGAAAGCATCCAATAATTCTACTCTATTTCCTAAACATTATAGCCAGAGGCTGATTTAGATTATACATTACGGGTTGTTTTGTTTGAAGACAAGTTATGCTAGAATTAGCTATGCTGGGATTAATTATGTTGAGATTAGTTATCTTTGTATTAGTTCTCATTGACTGTTTGATAGTATGTTGTATTAATCCTGCGATTACCAATTCTACTGTTTTTTCCTAGAATAACTTATCTTGGAATTATTGTTCCATCCTATAACACGTATAAATTATTTCGATATTATTTTTAATTCTGAGATAACTTATCCTAGAATTAACAGACAAAAAAAGAAATACCTCAGTGCCTGGATCATTTGCTAACCACTACTATTTCCTTACTTTAGGCTCTTACGCAAGTAGCTAGAAGATGACATAAAACATTCCAGAGAGGATTTTTGGCTTTGAACTCTCAAGAAATAATAAGAGAAGTGATGATCAGATTTCTCAGTCATTCCTATAAGTTTATATGTGGACCTTTCATCACCATCAGTCTGATTTTGTCACCATATATCCTTCCAATAACAAAAAGGAAAATGACGTGTATAGCCGCTTTTAAATTAATAGCCGGAAAAAATCCGTATGTTATATATAAAATTATACAAATTTTATACACTTTTTTGGCTATCAAAAGTAAATAGTTTCTAGCGCGAGTTAAAAGTAAAAAAAGCCCATAACGAAATGCATCGCTACACTGTGAAATTGGCACGTGTTCTGTTTAGCATGTTCCAAAAACAATTACTTATTATATTTTATTCTATTTTAATTTTAGCTTTTCATTTTACCCTTAACGATAATGCTCTTATAATTACAAAAACTATCATGACATTTTTCGAAAACTACATCTCTAACAGTAACATTTCGATATGTACCAAATATTTTTTTTTTAAACTCTATGCTCAATCAAACACTGCTATATAAAACGTAGCAAAAGTGTATTGAGGTTCGTTATAAAGATGGCTAATTCTTTCTAGAAGAATAGACTTCTTGGTGCCAAATGGATATTCATTCCTTGTATCCATTATGTTAATTTCATGTCATTTGAGTTATCTTATATGACATTACCTTTGTTAATACGACACAAACTTCACAATTACAAAACATATTGAAGACAATTTCGAAGCTCTCAATGTGTTTAATTACTATACGTACGTGTTTGGTATGACATTGGTTTCTTACCACCTCATAGAAATGAACGATTCATATTGATATTCTGAACTATCTATCTTGTATATTTAATCTTATCTGGTGTTTTTAAAATAAAATAAAATACAAAACTACAGCAATGTCTCTAGAAGCTTGTTCATGATTGTAAGAATCAGAAGCTTCATTTTGTCGTTATAAAATGATGGAAAATCCCATGCCTAACTTCATAAAACATGTGACTAACGAGTAAACTTCATCCTCACAAATCCAATTTCACACTGCCAACCACACACTACACTTGAGATAATGCCGAATATGCTTATGTCTGCTTTAAAGGGAGCTCGGAGCAATAATAAAGTTGTCTTCGTGTGTGACATGTAGGTTACGGGTTCGAGTCGTAAAAACATCCATCAATGCTTGCATTATGGTAGGCTGTCTATACATTTTACCTCTTGGAGTATGATCCCTTCTTCAAACCCGACATAAATACGGAAAACTTTGTGCACCGGAGCTTCCCTTCAACCACACACCACACTTAAGATATTAATGCTGAATATGATTGTCTGCTTTGAAGGAGCCTTGGAGAAACAATGAAGTTATCTTCGTGTGTGAAATGTAGATTACGGGTTCGAGTCGTAGAAACATTCACTAATACTTGCATTAGGTATGCTGTCTACATCACACCTCTTGGAATGCGGCCCTTTTCTCAGATCCGACATAAATACGGGATGCTTTGTACGTCGGGGTTGCCCTTTCAACCACACACCACACTTAAAGATAAAGTTGAATATGCTTATGTCTGCGCTTACATCATCAATTGACAATAAAACATGTAGTATAAAACAAGCAAAGTTGAAACCATATTAAGAGATACCAAAAATTCTCTGATCTATTGACTAATATTTTACTAGCAAGGTATCAAAGAATGGCTGTTCTCACAATTCAGCCACATTTTGTGTTATTCCCTTTCATGGCACAAGGTCACACTATCCCTATGATTGACATTGCACGGTTATTAGCACAGCGAGGAGTTAAAATCACAATCCTTACTACACACTTAAATGCCACTAGATTCAAGACAGTCGTTGATCGCGCTATAGAGTCAGGACTAAAGATTCAAGTAATTCACCTCTATTTTCCAAGCTTAGAGTCAGGACTACCTGAAGGGTGTGAAAATTTTGACATGCTTCCATCTATGGATTTGGGAATGAAGTTTTTCGATGCAACGAAAAGACTTCAACCCCAAGTGGAAGACTTGTTGCAAGAATTGAATCCATCGCCAAATTGTTTAATATCTGATATGTGTTTCCCTTGGACTACTAACGTTGCACAAAAATTTAATGTCCCTAGGATTGTTTTTCATGGGATGTGTTGTTTCTCTTTATTGTGTTTACATAATTTGAGAGGTTGGAAAGAGTTGGAAAATATAGAGTCTGATAAAGAGTATTTTCAAGTGCCTGGATTACATGACAAAATTGAACTAAACAAAGTTCAGCTTGCAAGTATTGTTAGGCAAAGAGATTCATATTGGAAAGAATTAGGGGATCAAATGAAGAAAGCAGAGGATGAAGCTTATGGGATAGTAGTGAATAGTTTTGAGGATTTAGAACAAGAATATGTCAAGGGATTGAAAAATGCCAAAGAAAAGAAAATTTGGACCATTGGCCCTGTTTCTTTATGCAATATAGAGAAACAAGACAAAGCTGAAAGAGGAAACAAGGCTTCAATAGATGAACACCAATGCCTAAAATGGCTAGATTCTTGGGAAGAAAACTCTGTACTCTTTGTATGTCTCGGAAGCCTATCGCGGCTTCCAACACAACAAATGATAGAGCTTGGGATTGGTTTAGAATCGTCGAGACGACCCTTTATTTGGGTTGTTAGACACATGTCAGATGAATTCCAAAAATGGCTAGTGGAAGAAAATTTTGAGGAAAGAGTTAAAGGGCAAGGAATTTTAATCCATGGTTGGGCACCACAAGTACTAATAGTGTCTCACGCTTCAGTTGGCGGATTCTTGACACATTGTGGATGGAATTCGAGTCTTGAAGGAATAACAGCTGGCGTGCCGATGATCACTTGGCCAATGTTTGCCGAGCAATTTTGCAATGAGAGACTAATAGTGAATGTACTAAAGACAGGAGTAAGGGCTGGGATTGAGAATCCTGTGATGTTTGGTGAGGAAGAGAAAGTGGGAGCACAAGTGAGTAAAGATGATATTAAGAAGGTAATTGAAGAAGCATTTGGTGAAGAAGAGGAAGCTGAAATGAGAAGAAAAAGAGCTAAAAAGTTGGGAGAATTGGCAAAAAGGGCTGTTGAGGAAGGGGGTTCCTCTTACTTCAATTTGACACAATTGATTCAAAATGTCACTGAGCAAGCAAAATTTTGAAAATCCATCTAGGATTACAAAAAGTTTATTTAGGTGCAATGTATGCCATAAAGTTCAAATCGAATCGAAATAGTAACGTTATAGTGTGTAAAGTTCAGTTTACTCTGATGTAATACGAAGATTAGTAAAATAATAGTATTATTATTACAACGGGCAAAAGTTCATTTACTTTAATAGTTTAATGTGCTTTTATATTAATATGACAAAGAATAATTTTGTGACATTATTGTTATAGTAGATAAAATTACAGACATAGTTGATTTTCACTCAATGCAGATTTATTATTCTGTGCACCAGTTAATATAATGGTACTAATAAATACATGTGTTTTACACTGTCATTCAAGGGCAGATATAGAGTATCATACATGGGTTCGGCCGCACGCAACCGTTTTGACCCAAAACCGTATGTCTTAATAAATTTATAAAATATAAATAAATATTAAATTTTTAATTCAATTATTAGTACTTAAGGTCATTGTCCTAGAATAGCAAATTCATATAATACTTGAAATCGTTGTTCTAAAATTTCAAACCAATAGATTTCAAATCTTGAAACTGCCGTTGACTGTGTAAGAAAACATAAAGACATCTTGACTTAAAGAAGCAGCTCACTATAAACACTTCCCTATTCAGTCTCTCGCTATAATTATATATACTAGTATAAATATATCCGGGGCAATAGATGTAACCATAGTTTTGAAAATATGTATTGACCTAACTGCAATTTCAAGTCATCTCGCATAGATTTTATAGGAAACGATCCCTTTTAAGTCCCAGTGTTCGACTATATATGATAATCAAATATTTTGCTTAAACAGCTGTGATAACTAAAATTAAAATAGTTTTCGGAGGGCGTCATTTTGTAAATAAAAAACTACTTGGCAAAATCTTCGAAGATATGCATGGTAATCTAAATTTTATATATGTTTCGTGCAGAAATTTTCAAAGTCTTTACCAGTTTGTCGTTTGTAACATGCAATTATTAGTGTTTTATAAGTATCAAGAAAATGACCACAAATGAAGAAAATGCACAAGTAAGAACCATCATAAAAAACTCCAGCATAACCTCTTTCATAGGCGGATCCAAAATTTAAATTTTTAGGTTTAGGTTTTGCTCAGAATCTATCGAAAACAACTTCCCAATCTTTATAAGGTAGGAAGTAAAGTTTGCGTACTATATACAGGTAAAATCGGGGATAATGCATACCCCGATTTTCTAGTGAAGAAAACGGAAGAAGAACATTGACGAACGAGATTGAAATCGAGGCTGGGAGCCCTTCGTATCGAGATCCATGAAAGGTTAACGATGCGTTCATTATCGGGTATGATAAAGCAACGCACCCCGGGCCCAGAGCGTGTTCTCGAAAAACACGGTAAACGGTTACGCACGACGGATAGAGGGCAATGATTTCCACACCTAACTAGAAATCACGGCGCGAATCTCGCTCGATGTTGATTATGGATCAGTAATAAACGAGAAAGGGAGATTTTTACCCTTTTTAGATTTATACTATAGATGAAACTCTCCTACCATATAAAGGGGAAGTTTTTCTTTTTGTAAGACACACTGTAACACGCAAATCAAAGCAGTAAAGTTTACTTTTCTGCCTTTTAGTTATTGCTAAAGTTCTTATTTAATTGTTCTGTTCTTCATTCACAGCTGGGCTCGAACCGAGGGTCCAATCGAGGACGAGGCCACTATTCAATCTAAGTTCGGGCTTGGTCATAACATTACAATTGGTTTGATCGTTTATTTCATCTTTAACTTATTTATCTAATATTCTTGATTATTTTTGTTGAATCAAATCACATATCCTTAAAATCACGTACAAATTTAATTGTTATCCGATTTAGGGATAAACAGTTTGGCGCCCACTGTGGGACTAAAGATAATAGTGGTGATTTGATACGAATCTCCATAACACACCCTATATTACGCTTATTCTTTTAAGTCTTAATCTCATGTCAGCCCAAAAATGTCGAACTCTCAGTCTACTCACGTGAATGTTGACGCTGAGTCTGGCAATCATGGCGAAAATAATAATTTGGTACCTAGCAGCTATTGATACCCAATTTTTTCTATAATATTATTAAAATGCATATGTACCTTCAAAATAATGCATTAGCATCAATTAATATTTCTCTATAATTTCTGCATTTTTAAGGATTTTAATTAATTTATCCCAATATTTTATTATATAAATAATTACTAATTTTATTACAAATGGCTTTATAACCATTTTTATGACCTAATTCTACTATTTATATTTATACTAAGCTTTAATTATTTCACAGATAGCCACATTTGCATTTTAGGGTTATAACTACAATGACTTTGCAGTTATAGCCTATGTATGCATTATTACATTATTTTACCAGAAAATTATAAATAGCTTTTTGTATCTTTTTGAATATTGAGTGATTGTTTTAAAATATTTTTTATGCACAAAAATCATTGTTTTATAATCTGTTAATTATTTTTACAAATTATTTTATTAATTAATTGGTTATTTGACAAATAACCCTTTTAATTCCTTTAATTTTCGGACCTAAACCAGCCCAACCCCTTTTAAAACTTAACCTAATTCATCCCCAGGCCCAAATATGCCTACCCGACCCAATAACCCATCTTCAATTGTGGCCGTTGATCTTTTAGATCAACTGTCTACATTAACCCTTACCATAATTAAGCCTAACCAAAGCCCCAACCCCCTTATTCTCTCTGATTCCGCTGCCTTCGTTCCTTAGCCCCTCCGCTTCTCTCTCAATCACACCCTAAACCTAATCGCCGTCCGGTCAAAATACTCCCGTCTATAGAGTGTCTGTGTGTCGGCCTTCTACACCTCTTGGTTGTTCGATTACATGGATCCTTAAAAGAATGTCAAGGAGATTGAACTTGAGTTTTTGCCCAAAACTGGTTTATGGGCCCGTCTAGGGCCATTTTCGTTTGTGCGTATGGATCTCCTCCTATTTTAGTTTGAATTTATGGGTTTTAGACCGAGTTTCTTTATCTCTATTGTTTTCTGAAAACCCTAGTTTCACTACCATTCGAATCCGTTCAGATCTTTGTAGATTTGAAAGGATTCGAGTATTATTGGGTATTTTCCTTTGAAAATCTTTTTTTTTTCTAGTTAATTTCTTCGATTTTATTCACTCTTTCTGAATTTAGGGTTCGTCCCAGACTTTCTTCAAAGGTTTTTCTAACTTTTCAGTGTTTAAACTAAGTGTTCTTCACTATCTTGATTGTTGACACCTAATTTTCCCCTATATATAATTTTAAATAGGCATACAAGCCTTCAAAATAGCATATATATGCATATAGGCATGCACAAGGCTTTCATTATTTTTCCCATAATTTTAAGGGTTTAAATTGATTTATTTTCTCCCTTTTTATCCATAAAAACCCCAATAATTATTTTCAAAATTATTGTTTTGATAATTCATCTATTGAATTTCTATATTTATGCCAAAATATGGCTAAGGTAATTTTTATATATTTTTACAATTACATTTAGTATTTCAAAGCTAAATTGCATATAATTGCATGTTAGCTCATTTTAAGATATAATTATGTTTTATATGCATAAAATTGGACCCTGTATTTTTAACTTGTTAATTATGTATTTTAAATCATTTTTTCACCTTAATTTATTTTCCAGAAATTACCTATTATTATTTATAAATTAAATAGGGGAAAATTGGCTATTTAAATAACATCCAAATTTGGCTTTCAATTATAGACAAAATTGGACTCCTTTCCAGCCCAATTTCACACCCAAATCACCCGACCCATACCCTATTAACCCTTATCCAAACCCGGAACCCACCTACCCGTTTTAATCCTGACCGTTGATCTCCCAGATCAACGATACAAATCATTCCCTTTCTTTTTTAACTCTAATCGACCCCTAACCCTAAGCCATTTTTCAAAAGGCGCCGCCTTCAGATGCTCTCTTATCTCCACTCTTCTCTCAAATCTAACCCTAGACTCCTCCACTCACCTCCTTCTGCGGTCATCTCCGGCGACTATCTCTCGGACCCCAAGCCTCCAATGGTCACTCTCATCACTTTGCTCATCATCTCTAAGGCATTTAAGGGTCCTGGGCTATGTCGATTTGGACCTAGTGTTTCTAATTCTGTTGTTCGAGGCTTCTCTGGTGTGATTTTGGTCAAAATCACACCATGTGTGTTACGATTTATGAAGTTACAACAAGTTCTTTCGATTTCTACTTAGGTTTCCTTTTGAAACCCTACCTCTCTTCTAGATCTCTCAGATCTGTGTTATTTTCATGCTTTAACCCTATTTCCTTCTATGATTTGCTTATTCTCGAGCTTTCTTTTGAAAGATCCTCTATTCTAAACCATTTTTACTTTCTTTTGAAAACTAGGGTTTTCTCGGAATTCTTTCTATACCCGTTTCAACCAATTTCTTCATGATTAAACCTTTTTTCCTTGTTTGTTTTGACCGATTTATATTCCTACTGCTTTTTAACTTAACTCTGTTAAAATCCTTAATTTTAAAAAAAAATTCTTTACTTGTTTCTATGTGTTAACATGATTTTCTTTACTTGTTTCTGTGTCTTAGCATGATTTTTCTTTACTTGTTCTTGTGTGTTAGCTTGATTCTCTTTACTCTGTTTCTATGTGTTAGCATGATTATCTTCACTTTTGTTTCGTGTGTTAGCATGATTTTCTTGCCTTGGCTCTGTTTGTTAGCGTGATTTTGTTTGCCTTGGTCTTGTTAATCTCTCGTGGTCACCATGCTACGAGTATGTTCTGTTGAATCTTTAGCCTACTTATATTACTTCTATATGACCGTGTTTACTCGTCTCTTATTTCTTTCTGCCTATATAATTGACCTTGCTTGTTTGCCACTTCTGTTCATTCGCCTCTATTTATATGTTGAAATATGCAGAATCATGACTCCCTATGATTGATTCTGATTTTCCTTAACTTTTGGTAATTAAAAGATTTTCCTTCAAAGCCCTAGAATTCTACTCGTCTGTTTCAATTAACTAATTTCGTTACCTTATTTACTATGTTACTTTGTTTTACTTAAGTCTTTCCTTAAGTGGGTCTTTCTGAATTTCGTCCTAATTGACTACTTTATGCCAAATGAACTCTGGCTCCTTTCCTTGTTTAATCATGCACTGATTCTTCTTCTTT